TTGAAGCAAACTCATCCTCCGAAACTGGAACTGGCGAAGCACATTTGAAAATGAAGGTCTCGTTGAAGGTTCTCCTCGGATTTGCCAGTTGACACTAGACTCACTGGACGTCCAGCAATTGAAGTAAATCAACCCCCCAAAATGTTGGCAATTCTGTTGGGGAATGATTCTAAGTCCCTGGGATTTTGGTGCCCAATTTTGTATTTAAGCCCATGTGCCGTCGTCTTGGGCAAGGGTGGTTGGACCAAGTCTAAGGTCCAAACAGGACAACGAAAGCAAGGTGTTTTGCCAAGTCTCAAGTTGCTCTTGAGGATAGTCAGGTAACACATCCTGAGCACAGTTGTGTTGGTGTCCAGACCCAATCCTCGAAACATCAATGGGTGTAGCTATGGCACGAATGGACCCACAAAAAGTTCATCGATTTGGTAAATTTCCATCCCAAAACGGAGTTGTTTATCCCAGATTGTGAGGCATGCCTGCGTAGCAAATGCCAATTTGGTTCACTACCCAGCATCCAGCAACAAATGGGAGCCAAGCTCTTCATGTTCAGAGCAAAATCTGTGCTGTTTAAGTTTTGATAGATTTTGACTATGTTGACTCCACCGAAACAGGTCTGGGTCAGCACCAAATCACCCGAAATCGCGGGGATGAGCATCCCGAACAAGACTATATATAGTTTGCTTTTGACATGTTCACTGTATGTTTTTTTAACCCACGCCTCAATCCCACATCTCTGATTTCCGTGGCCCAGATGAAAATAATGCTGTCAAGAAACCCACAAATGAGAGAAGCCACGCAAAAAAACTTCCTACAGTCGCGCCAGGTTCGGGTGCAACAGCAGCACCAAAGGAGATCGGGATGAAACTGGGCATTCAACTGGTAGAAATCCGATAAAGAACCAAACATGGGATTTTTCATAGAAGACTTGGATGGCAATTGGATTGTTTGGCACCATTTTGGTACTCTGCTGTCAGTTCAAAACACAAGTCATCGCACAAGCGGCCACAGAGCAAGATCCAAGAAACTCCCGAGCATTTGTTTTCGAAATCCAAGCATGAGTCCCAAAGCTGAATATTGAAAACCAGAGACAGCCAATCAAGAATATTGACGTGCCTATACTACAACACCAGGACAAAAGTGTTTCCTCTTGACTAGCTGCTGCAACCCTCTCCCCTTAGACTCCTGACAGGCTGAATCACACGGCGGATCGTGGATCAGCTGGTTTGGTTTCAAAGTATCTTAATTTATTCCGACTTGAAATACGATCTGCCACAGAGGCCGCGCGAAATGAGGATGATTGATTCGCAGCTGAGGGTCATGAAGTTTATGAGACACTAAACCGAAAAAACGTTCTTCCTCCTGATGTATCCCATGAAAATTATTACCCTGTAGGAATCAAGTATTGCTGGCAAAGCAAAAACAATGGATCAGCGGATCAAAACGTCAAGCAGATTGTTTTCAAGAATGTGGACCATGATGTTCAAAACAAAAATGAGAGTCTCAAAATTATCGTTCTCCCCATGTTGCTAATATGTGTATATATATGTGTGTGTCACATTCTATACATATCAAAACATATTATATGGGAATATCATGGGTGTATATAATATATATATACATATATATGTATTTATATATATATATATGTATACATGTGTATACATGTATATATATATATACATATATACATATTTATATATATATATGTGTGTGTATACATGTGTATACATGTATATATATACATATATACATATTTATATATATATGTGTGTATACATGTGTATACATGTATATATATACATATTTATATATATATATATATATATATGTGTATACATGTATATATATATACATCTTTATATATATATATACATATTTATGTGTATATATATATGTGTATACATGTGTAGACATGTATATATATACATATATACATATTTATATATATATATATGTGTGTATACATGTGTATACATGTATATATATATATACATATTTATATATATATATATATGTGTGTATACATGTGTATACATATATATATACATATTTATATATATACATATTTATGTATATATATGTGTATACATGTGTAGACATGTATATATATATACATATATACATATTTATATATATATATATATGTGTGTGTATACATGTGTATACATGTATATATATATATACATATTTATATATATATATACATATTTATATATATACACATATTTATATATATGTGTGTGTGTCACATTCTATACATATCAAAACATATTATATGGGAATATCATGGGTGTATATATGTATATATATATATGTATACATATATATATATACATATATATATACATATATATATATACATATACATAATTATATATATACCCAAATATGTCTCATGAATTTCATGGGGACTTCTCCCAGCTTCGATATCTTCGATCTCCTGATAGCTGAGCCAAGGGTCAGCTTCTTTGGGATCCAATGTGCCAGACTTGTCCTCTGCGAAACAGTGATGGCTTGCAACTGGCTTTCATGTATGTGTTAAGTTATACTTATATGTATAGAGTATAGAGATGTATATATATATATATACACAGATACACAATACACCTATATATGTATATGTATACTGAAAATGTGTGATATATAAAATGTACTATCTATCTATATACAAGTACTATGTCTGTATATATGTACATACAGATCTATATTCTATACACATATTCCTCTTAGAACAGGAATATTTTGGAATCCAACCTGCCTCGTCAAAAGTCCCTGATAACCTGGATAGGGGACTGGAGTGGTTTGGAACCGTGGCAGAAAAACGCCCACTGGTGGAGTGCTGGAAATAAAAATCCAACATTTATAGATGATTTCCCTATCTGTATCCACTAAAAGGTTTAAAAAGCAGGATTTACCATTACCAGTGCCAGGTTCAATTACGGGTGGTAATAGTCACTGGTATCAACTATCGGAACTATCGGCACTCGCAACTGCACCAACCCGGAGTCGGTCACGATCCGCCACAAAAAAGAGGCCAATCGATGAGGAGACAGCTTGCACCCTCCCCTGGTGCTCCAGTGCCACTAGCAGCTCGTGCGTCGCTTGCGCATCGTTGTTTAATTGACCTTTCACTTTCGCCAGAGATGATGAAATGTGACTCCTAGGCGCATTTCAGAAGTGGGGGGCCAAACTTCTTGTGGAAATTCGTGACCCCCACATCTAGGGATCAAAAAAGCACCAGCACCATCCTGCAAGGTTACAATTTCTGGATCTGCAGAGTTAATTTCGCCAATGATCCTTGGAATCCTTGGGACTTGGGAAGCGACCACTGTCACAGACCTAGAACTCATAATATCTCATGATATGCTGTAGAATTGATTGGCAGCTGGAATACCCTTTAAAAGGTGCTTGAAGAATGGCATGCCCGTAAGGTTTGAAGAATTCCTGTTGGACTTATCCGAAAATCGTGACGGCCAAGGACCTTGCCCTCTGGTAACTTCACAGTTTCTTATGGAAAATCACCATTTTTTACCAGGTAAATAATCGATCGATGGGCCATTTTCCATAGCAAACTTAAAATACCGGAGGGTATATTAGATTACAATTATATATACAATTATATCCCTATAGGCCCTATATTATCCCAATGATATCCTGGTGCTCTGCAAGGATCAGATCTTGAAGCTGTTGCTCCAGCTTTTCGTTGCTCGCTCGCAACCTCCGATTTTGGAACCCCAGGAGCGCCACGGACTCCCGCAAATGCCTGACAGGTTTTGGGAAGCTTGGGCCATTTTAAATGGCCAATGATAGAAGTGGGCTGGTGATGGCTGGTGTACACCCAGAGGTTTTAGAAAGTTCAATTCCCCGAAAAAAGCAGAGCCCAAGTATCGTTTCCAGGGTGTAGCGAAGTGTCAAATGGTCCGCTCTTTGTCATGAAATCAACCCCGGTTGCCACCGTGATGCTTAAGGAAGCATGGATCCGAGCCAACCAACAGGGCCATGCCAGCAGCAGTGAAGCAAAGTAGAAAGCTTTCCCAGGTCAGCAATCGGTCCCTGTAGTGGAAGAAGTCAATGAGCATTCTGGATCTCCATTCCCAAGTGATGAGCACGGCTATGGGCTATGGATCAAAACCCTGCTACCCTGCTTTTCACATCAAAACAACCAAAACAGCAAGTGATATCTATAAGTCTATAATATACGTGTATATATATATGTGGAACATCCATGACAAAATCATAGCTTTCAAATGCGTTTGAAGCATCTCTACATGGGCTTGTCTGAAATCAAGGCACTACCAGACTTTGATGGTTTAAACCCTCATTTTCCCCATTCAATTTCCATGATTTGGGACAACAAACCGGCGGTTTGAATCTCATCCAAGACTCTTGCGGAGCAATCCGATGCTGCCGAAGATTAAGCCAATGACGGACAAGAGCACTAAGCCCAGTGCCAGATTTCGCACGTTCTGCAACAAACACATCGCCTGCCATGGCCAACCAGGGCAGTAAGCAGGGGGCCAACGATGATCAAAGGCGTACGGCGATTTGCCAGGCATGAGGCTATCAGTTGAAAGCAACTAGACATGTCTTTGCACGTCAGGGCAACAGAACTCAGCGATCCCTCCATTCTTTTCTCCGAGTGTCGGATGGCTTTTCGAGCACAAAACCAATGCGTTTCAGCCGTTCCTTGGTTCTGTCCCTCCAGCCCATCTCCACATCGTCACTGCTGCTCTCTTCGCTGGACGACATTTCGCTGGACGACATCGCTCTGAGCGAAAACTGAGCCCGAACTGCGGTGCTCTGCGAGTCGAAAAATGATGTCCTTCGTGGCTCGTGTTGAAGCCGGGGATTCACAATCCCTCACGGCTTCATCACTCCACGTGTTGCCTTCCAGTCTGGTCATTTTGTCATGGACTCTATGGCGTCTTGTGACATGTTTATACATTTTCACCATCCAATGCTACGATGTCCACACTCCCACCGCAAATTTCGCCGAGCAGCTGAAAGAAACTGTTGCTGGGTGTCATGTTCCTCCAAGGCGCGACTGGGACATCTGACTGGGACATTTTAAGGGACTAGAAATATCAACTGCATCAAGGATTTGAAATTGAAAATTGGAAGCCTCAATCCATTTCAACAAAAAAGTTGCACCATTGTTGATGTTCAATGTTATTCTAGGACTATGTGTTGATCCTCTTTTTTTTCAGTGTCCAGCAGTGCCGCGGCACTGAGCGAACTCGTTGATGCCACTGGGGCCATCGGTGGTGCCCGCAGCAAAGGAGGAGCCCAAGGTTGGCCGACAGGTTTGCACCTGAGCGAAAATGGCTAGGAATTGTGGCGAAAAATTCAGGAATTCAATGGGATTATATATTGAAATATCATCGGATTAGTTTAGATGTGTTGAAGCAGTTTGAACGTCTATAGTTTTCGGCATATGGTGTCATTGGGTTCGTTTTCCATGGAAAAGTCGACATAAAAACCGCTGCGTTTTTCCTACATCCAATTCTGGAATGGTGACAAAGTCAATGCAAAAATGTGGGATTGAAGGAACTTTAACATATCTATGTATATATATATATATATATACAGCCAAAAAAGAGGATTGAAGCAATCAGAATTCGACTTGAACCCACTGGATCTCTGATTGCAACTCGTTGGTTACTCCCTGATGTCCATTTGGGTAGGCTGCCACAAGATAGCGGCTATGGATTACTACATCAAAAGAAATCCATGAAAAATCCCATTAGAAAAAAATCCTTACAATAAATCTCCTATTAAAACCCAATAAATCTCCTATTAAAACCCAATGAATATGCAAAAAAAATCCGTAGCTCCCTGGATCGTAATCCGTGGCTTCACCAGGCCCCAGGATGGTCCAGGATGGTCCAGGCACCCAAGTGCCATTGCCGGTGGTGTCCACCCAATACTTCGAGAGATCCTCACATCCCGGTGCCCTGGAACGATGTGGGGATCTAACATCAGTCCTGTTTTACATTAACCATTATTAACCATGATTAACCATTAAATAAACATCCTAACCCAATTGGGAAGATGTCAGACCTTGCAAACCAGGGTTCCTGTATGTATAAAACAGGACTACTTTCACTTTCACTTGAAAAGTGAAAACCAATAAAAAACATCAGGACAATGTGTAATACAGGGCTACAGGAAGATTAACCATGATTAACCATGATTAACCATGATTAACCATTAAATTAAACTGTATGTATAAAACAGGACTACTTTCACTTTCACTTTTCGGTGAAAACCAATAAAAAAACATCAGGACAATGTGCAGTTCTACAGGAAGATTAACCATTATTAACCATGATTAACCATTAAATAAACATCCTAACCCAATTGGGAAGATGTCAGACCTTGCAAACCAGGGTTCCTGTATGTATAAAACAGGACTACTTTCACTTTCACTTGAAAAGTGAAAACCAATAAAAAAAACATCAGGACAATGTGTAATACAGGACTACAGGAAGATTAACCATGATTAACCATGATTAACCATGATTAACCATGATTAACCATTAAATTATACTGTATGTATAAAACAGGACTACTTTCACTTTCACTTTTCGGTGAAAACCAATAAAAAACATCAGGACAATGTGCAGTTCTACAGGAAGATTAACCATTATTAACCATGATTAACCATGATTAACCATTAAATTAAACTGTATGTATAAAACAGGACTACTTTCACTTTCACTTGAAAAGTGAAAACCAATAAAAAACATCAGGACAATGTGTAATACAGGACTACAGGAAGATTAACCATGATTAACCATGATTAACCATGATTAACCATGATTAACCATTAAATTAAACTGTATGTATAAAACAGGACTACTTTCACTTTCACTTTTCGGTGAAAACCAATAAAAAACATCAGGACAATGTGCAGTTCTACAGGAAGATTAACCATTATTAACCATGATTAACCATGATTAACCATTAAATAAACAACCTAACCCAAGTGGGAAGATGTCCCCAGCAGGCCCCACCAAGGCTTTGGTCAAGTTGAGAACATCCAACAGCTTCAACATCCAGATGGGCAAGCCGCAGGTGACGGGATTATACATGTAAATATAGATAGACTATATAGATAGATATAGATAGAGATAGATAGAGATAGAGAGAGATAGAGAGAGAGAGAGAGATAGATAGAGATAGATTGAGATAGATAGAGATAAATTGAGATAGAGAGAGAGAGATAGATTGAGATAGATAGAGATAGATTGAGATAGAAAGAGATAGAAATAGAGATAGAAATAGAGATAGAGATAGAGATAGAGGTAGATAGAGATAGACCGACAGATATAGAGATAGAGATAGAGACAGATAGACAGATAGACAGATAGACTGATAGACTGATAGACAGATGGACAGACAGACAGACAGACAGACAGACAGACAGATAGATAGATAGATATGGATATTTAACTACGCATGCATATGCGCATGTGAATAGATATATTGCATTACAGTACATTGCGTTACATTACATGACATGACATTACATTACAGTACATTACATTACTTACATGATTACATACATGTATTTGTATACATATATATATATATGTGTGTATAATCATACAATATGTATATATACTAAATATAATTATATGCATATGTGTGTATATATATATACTGTATGTATATATATATATACATGGATCCATCTTTGGACCAAGAACTGCTCAGCCTTCGAACCAGTGCTGTGGAGTTTCCACATAGCGCAGCACGTGCGAGATACCAGTGCCTGGAAAGACGGGGTGGCCATGGTGGGTGCCACCCTGGGAACACACCGTTCAACACGATCAAAAAGGGTATCAAAAAATCAAAGAAAGGGTGGATTGCATCAAGAACTAGGAACACCAGTATGACTTGAAGGAAATCGTTCATTTCATCTGAAAGAACCTGGAAGTAATGTGTTCTGAATGTAGAAAATGTGGTATGAATGTGTATGGAAGCACACAACCCGTCAACCTGTGAAAGTGTGGACGACTATGTATGCAACCACTTACAAAACTGGGATGTGGATGGATTTCCTGGAACCAATAATGCTTCCAAGTTTACATCTCGGACCAACAAAAAACTTCAGATTTTCAGGGTCGCATTCTCCAGGTTAGGCTTCTATTCCCCTTTATACACATGGCTAAACTTGGGTAAACTTGGGTGGCTTCAAAAAACACCAAAGACAATCACCTGATGACCACGCCGGAACCTCACAATCGCCGCACCTAGAGGTTCTGTGGCCCGCTCAAAGATGGTCTTGGCCGCGGTCACTTGACGCTCTCCGATGATCTTCATCGACTCGTATTTGTCCTGGACGTCCCAGGGATGTGATGACAAAATATGTCAGGAAAATGGTGCATTCTTTCGGAACATGTGGAATGAAGCAGATTCAACCCAAAAACGAGGTGGAAATGTCGGGGAGTTAGCAACCAAAAGATGCTGAAAATTGAATTGGCTAACCTCTCTGGGCAAAAAGCCAATTACATGGAGAATATGGGTCAGGAGTAAAGACCCATTTCGGAGGACAACTGGATTGCATTTCGAGTAAACTATCCCGCCACGCCATCCTTGAACCCCTCTTGATCTTCTTGGTCGTCTCCCCAGCATTTTCTTGACAAAAAGATCTCCATGGGGGGATCGCTTCATACCAAAGAGACAAGTGTCATCATTTCATTTCTCATTATATGAAATATATATATATCATTTCATCCCCTTTTACATCTGGGATTTTCATCAGATCATTTATCATATCAGATTTCATCCCCTTTTCCATCCCGGATTTTAATCAGATGATCTGGAGTTTTCCCCATTTCCAACTGCCCAAAATGGTGGGATGGGGGTCCACTGGAACTCCGAGCGTCTCGACCAGGGCCTTGACCCAAACAGAGCTCGTTCTTCGGCTGGCCGTTCTCCCAACAGACCTGAGGATCCAGCGGCCATGGAGCCCCTGGCTATCGAAACCAAAGGGTACCCTAAGTCCCTAAGTCATAGCTGGTGGATGGCTATTCCCCAAGTGATATGGGAACAGGTAACTTGACCCATCCTCACTTTGAGTTTTGACGCTTTGGACATGTCCAGACCCCTGCACTGAATCGGAGTACATTCCGAGAATTTCCAAGAGAACTCAACAATCAGCCAGGCTTCAGACCATGCCCGGAAAAAAACGAGGGATCCTTTTGAAGGTCAAACCGATGGACTACAAACACTACCAAAAATAGATTGTGTATAAATAAATATATATATATATAGTATTGTATAAATATATATATAGTATTGTATAAATATATATAGTATTGATAATTATATATATAGTATTGTGTATATATATAGTGTTGTATAGATATAAATATATATATATAGTATTGTATAAATGTATATATATATATAGTACTGTATAAATATATATATATAGTATTGTATAAATATATATATATAGTATTGTGTATATATATATAGAGTATTGTATAAATATATATAGTTTTGTACAAATAGATATATATATATATGTATATAGTATTGTATAAATATATATATATAGTATTGTATATATATATATATATTCTATTATAATATATATATATATCATATTATATATAGTATTGTGTATATATAATTATGATATATATATAATTTAATATATAATATATTGTATATTATATGTTATGTTATATGTTATATGTTATATATTATATGATATTACATTATATTGTATTATATTATATTATATTATACTATATTATATTATTATATTGGATTATATTATATTATATTATTGGATTGTATTATATTATTATATTATATTGGATTATAGTATATTATATTACATTTTTGTGTATTATATATTAAATCATATATTATATTATATTATATTATAGTATATTATATTATATTATATTATATTAAGTATTGTGTACATATACATATATAATTATATATATATCATACAGTGTTCACCTTGTATCACACGCAGCGAATACTCACCTTGCCCAGCCACAGGCCATTGATTCTCGCAGGATTCGCCAGTGTTTTTGCAATAGACACCCCGGGTGTTCGGCGAGATGTCCTCAGTACCGTAGATGGTTTCATCCCGAAATGGAAAAAGTGGCACCCCTGCTGAAGAGCATGTGCAGCATGTGCCATTGACGAAGTGGTCGAAAGAAAGTTCGAATGTTGATCTCAGATGTGGGGAATCCCAAAATCCCAAGGTTGGATTTTAGAAATGTCCGCTATTATTTTGATTGATGGACGTATACCTGATTTTTCTTAAAACAAGAGTCAACCATCTGATTTTTGTTAAAACAGCAAATTCTCAAATGATTTTTGTTGCCAGAGGGTTTAGTTTTCATCGGCCGAATCGCCCAGCGTTTCTTTGTTGAATGTGTAGCTGTTAGACAGCACCCAAAGATATTAAAAGTTGGAGACCCTACTGGTAGATGATTTTCCCAGCTAGAAACCTCCATTTATATATAGGGGCTTTCCATGGTTTTCCCATTGCCATGTTTGATTACCAGAGGATAAACATCATCCAGCAATGGACTTCCATAGCCTATTTAGCGGACAGCTGATGTCAAGCGTCACCAGAAACTCCCTGCGCGAAGCCAGCTACAAAGGGACCTTTCCGCGGCAACTCGGGTTGCACCATGTTTGGCTGTCAAACCACCTTTTCATGGTGGGTCGTTCGCCATATGTTGTATTGCAACTACCATATCTAAAATGATATACCCAGATATAACTTCCGGGAAAAAAAAGTGGCTCGAAACCTACATCAGCTTGGATTGAAAAATGAGTTGAGCTCCATTCAACTATCCACTCCAAATTAAAGCATGTGGGTGTTTGACATGAAAGGGGGATGGGTTTTCCATTCGAATCCCAATATATACATATCATTATACATGTATAATATATATATATATAATTATATACAGTATATATATATACAATTTAACACATATAACCAGGTTTATTTGGTTGATCAACTCCACTTCAAATGCTTCACACTGAGGTGCCGCACCGCGGCCCGCAGGCTGAACCCAGGTGGGGCCATTCATCTCCTGCTCGAAGGCATAGGCGGCGTAGCCTCCGGAGAAAACCATCGCCCAAAGTGGTGCTGGTTACAGGGAAAAACATGGGAAAAACATAGTTGGTTGAACATGGGTCATTAAATGTCCCCATTGAACATCACCCAACCATTAGGTATATGGTCTATAATGGCTACTATAAGGAGATGTCCAATATACCCAAAATGGGACAGTTACCAACCCCTGTTGAATGGCTTTAGAAACATCGTTTTTTTGTTTTGAAGCCATTTTGATGAGGCCGAAATGAAACACAGTCATGGTTCAGTGGAAGGTGCCCCCATGGAAGACGATTTTGGAACTGAAAAACCTAGCATTCCCAACAAGTCATGGTTGTTTTGATTACGCAAATAAACCTAAATACACCTGAAATTCAACATGGAACAGTGAAACCTCCAAAAGAGTATCGTATAAATCTTTAAAATGTTGCCAAACCCAGTTTCTATGGTACAATGGCTATAAAATAATGTTTTCACCCCCTCCAGATGGCTGCAAAAACGGGGCGCCTTTGTTGTCTCCAGAGATCAGGTGATAGTCGCCTCCAGAGGCTATGGGGCAGTCGTCACGCACCAATGAATGGCAACATCTTCGGGTAGCTGTTTCTACGTAGTTTTGACCCAGAAAATGACAACAGAATTGTAGGCATCACTCATGTGATTGTATATTGCACATGGTGCATAGATTCTTTGGAGCTGGGTGAAAACTGGAAAAATACCACGTTTTGGGGTATTTTGATGTGAAAACCATTTGAAGAACGGCAGGCCTGACAGCTTGCATCAGAGTAGCACGAGTCCAGTGGATCAAGACTACCTGGCTACCTGTATCAACCTCTTTTTGTTCAGCCCCACAAGGGTAGCTTGTAACCTGATAGTCCTCTGTCAGAAGCGTGTAGCTATTTATCCTCATTCCCACTGCCATCCCCTTGTCTGCTGTGTTCATCCCCATGTTTCTTGCCAGTCTCCACATTTTTTCCTGGTTCTGTCAGTCTCATCTTGGGGTTTTCCCCATTTTCAGACACGCGCAAATCATTTCATACAGTCTTGGTTATATTATGCATTGTGGAATTATACCCCATCAAAACCCTATTATAACCCACTTTATGCCCACTATATATGCCAATTTTGATGTCAATTTCATATCCACAAGATGCCAACACCCAAACCCAACTCCAGTCTCCAAGGCATCCAAGAGCATTCAAGGCATCCAAGTCGCTAGTCATGGACGTGGGATGCACTGCGAACCAATTCAAACTGCCCATCGCTTTGCCTGACGCAATACACCAACGCACGGTGTTTCTGCGAACGCTGGCCCTGCGAAGTCAACTTTGGAAGGGGGTCAAAGCCATGGCCAATCTGAGATACCCAAAATTCAACACCCACATGATTCTGCTTTGCTACAGTTTTCTCATAGCTTATTGCAAAAAAAACAACACGGATTAAGACGAGGCAAGGTGAAGCCTGAAAATTGTAAGGCAGAGACTAGAGACATCAGCAACAATTGCCATATACCCCGCAAAAACTGGGATATCATTTGCCAACATGAGCATCCAGCCTGCACCAAGGGACAAATACTTCGTACCCTCCAATAGCAAAACAGGAAAATCAGCCTGATTGTGTTGTTCAAAGGATATTCGAAGCATGAATATTCCATTGCTAGGTTGAATTCCCATAGAATAGCAATCTCATCCCCCCAATATTAAACACTCCCCTGAAACCATAGTTTAGTAATTATACAGTGGCTTTACATATTTGGCACTATAAAGGGGGATGGAATTCTTGTCTTTTCATATCCCCATAAATTTTTTGATGCTTTTTTCGGTAAAAACGTCGCGCCGCGGGCCTGTTTTGGCATCCACGATTTTCAAAAGGTCCATGTTGCGATCCTCAGGGGAAGTGACGAACTGATCTCCCAAGGTGCGATCGATCTTTTTGATGCCAAGCTGCGACGTTGTCATCCCCGAAGTACTTCTTTCCTGGGCAGGTGAACTAGACCCGGCCTGGTCAACGTTAACAAAAAACGATGGAAAAGCACCATGCTGACCATGCTATTAATGGGTCAATCAACTATAAATGGCCAATTTCCAATGGCTATGCTAAATTACCAGAGGCTACGCCAAATATAGCTCAGGATATCACTTTTATGGGTTCGTCACAGGGATCTAAGTACCTTCCAATGGAGTGATGTCCTTAAATGGGAAGAACACAAGGTTTTTTTGAGAATAATGCAGGGAATCACCAGCAAAAATGTGGGTTGTTGATGATATATAATACTTATGATCCAAAAACATGGGGGTGACTGGGCAAAACACACTTTGAGTCGACTTTGTATACCATGTATCATCATTTGCCCAAACAAGTTGTGAAGACTTGGGGGTACCCCTCTTTTTTTATCAGCCATTGGAAGTTTGCGGCATCCCCCGATGCACCAAATCTTGCTGGATGATGATACCACTGCTGACCAACCATTCTGATGATCTATATGGGGATGGGTCGAAATTTGGAAACCTATTCTTACCATATTTGGGGGGAATAACCATCCATTAAGTAGCTATTCTAGGGTACCTAGGAGACCAGGGCTTTGACTCATAACCATATAAATGGAACAACCCAGGAATTGCGGAATAGCTCTGAAGCAGTGGCAGTACCCGAGGGTAGGGACAGTTCTCCAAATCCAAACCCTCAGGGGAAGTCTCACAAATTTTGTCGGCTGCTGGATAAAAAGATTCATCAAGCACAGGGATAGACTTTACACGTGGATTAAACATCAATAGTGGTGTAATCAAATGTATATTCCACTGGAACCTCCACAAAAGCAGCCTTTTCTGGGTGACAGTACGAGTTCCACCCTCATTTTTGATAGTGGAGAAAAAGACCTTTGTTGCGTGACTTTCCTATATTTTCGACAATTTCAGTCACCATGTTTCACTGCTCCCTGTTTTGCTGACAATCGTCCCCAATGTAGCTGAAACCCCATGAGTGTTGCTGAAATATTCCCATTCCATTGGACTTCGAACTGCTTGGGATCCCAATCTTGCTCCCATCATTCCTGGGATCCCACTAATAGATTGCTTGCAAGACCTGGTTGTGACTTAGTGGTTCTTGGTGGCCAAGATTTGCCCGTCATAACCCCAACATTTGGCCCAGGACACCCAGGGTGTCCAAAGTCATCACGCCAGGTCTCGCTGCTGCTCCGGATTCATCAGGAAACTCGTGGGGCTCCGGTTCCGCGAGGCACAGTTGGGCATGGGGCAGTTGGGCACCGTGCTGTTGTCCACCATGCCGTTGCCAATGAAGATCTTCCGGCGGACGGAGACCAATGAGACCAAACAGAAATGCCATGGAAAGTAGAAAACTTGGAGGTTTCACCAACAGAAGCAGGGTTCAGGAGCAAACAAAATGACTGGGACTGACCTAGTGCGCCCCAGTTGCTTCCCTGCATTATCCCCGTGGTGCAACTGGGAAGCGATTTCCAGCCAAAATTGAGTCAACATGGCAGGTAGATATGAGAATCAGACTCTTGGGGAAGCTATTCGGGTTGAAGCGTGGTCTCTGGACCAAACTTGTAAAATGTTGATTCAAAATGTCAACCCAGCATGAAAACTTAGCAAGCTTTGCAACCCAACAGCAGGTTCTAGGCTTCCTGGGTTTCAGGGGTCCAGTCTCCCGCTTCGGTCTTCAGAGCCGACAAAAAATGGCGCACCACGCTGCCAGACCCAAAGATTGAAACCCAACAGTCACAGCTGCTGGGACAAACCTGGCCTGCGATGATCGAAAGTCATTTACCTAAAATTCATTCATATTCAGAAATATTCAGAAATATCGAACATCCTAAAATCATCTAAAATCTAAACCAATCATTATACACCAATAAACACCTGCACACCAATATACACCAACCATTCACCGGCCTCGCCTCCGCTGGCCTCACATCATGATGTGCCAACCAGACGGCCTCGGCGTCGCAGCGTCTTCGCTTGGGAAAGTGTGATTTTTCAGGATTTTCAGGATCTAAGGATCGGCGATTCATCGAAAAGTGGGATTTTTTTGGATGAAAGCCTCAGAAATGCTGAAATCTGACCAGGGTCAGGTCCCCTATCCAAATGTCAAAGATGGTGTATCCATTTTCGCTCAGCGATGAAGGTGAAATCCACAAGTTTCTCTCATTTTTCCTGGTGAAACCCATATGTTTTCAGCCCAACAGCTGCCGCACCTCAGAGATTCCATCGATCAAGGCATCCAGGGATTGTTGGACTCTGCCGTTGGAGGAGAACTGGAAGAGCATGTAGGCGCTGGCACCTTGGCCCATGGATACTATGGGATAATATGAGCTATATAATATGGATAGTGGATGATAGTGGGGCATAATCATGGGATAATGGGATTATATTGGATTATGTGGGATAATGGGACAGTGGGATTCTTCATGGAATCCAGATTTTAATTACAATAGTGGGATAACAACGGAACGGATAATTATGGGAAGATGAGTCAATGGGGAGTTCAGGAGCTTTCAAATGGAGGTACGTTAGTACCATATGTTTGGCCATATGAATGGTGGGAATATTCCCTGAAATTAAGGCCATATATATGGTAGGTAATTACCTCCAATTTAGGTTCCTGAAATGGCCATTGAATGAGTGTGCTGTTGATAAGATATGGGGTGGTTCTTGTCCCCAAGTCACCATGGTTTCAATAGCAAGTCATTGTCATCCATGACTTGGATGAATTGGGGTACCCCTATTTTAAAGGAAACCTCCATGTAGAGATAGATAGAGATATGTAGATCTGGGTGAATTATAATGATTCACTCATCTAAATATAGGTCGTTATAATTTACCCAGATAGATGTATAGATCCATGATGTACAAAATGAGCCCCTAAACCATGCGGAAAACCCTCAATTCATCAGGCGAATGGTGGGTTTCTGCTATCCAGGTACACATGTATCGTGTGTGTGTGTGCGTATATATATATATTACACATACCATAATTATATATATATACATACATATGACATATGATTATGTATATATAATATATATATATATATATATGCATGTGATTCTGTGATTCTATGTGTGTATGTATATATATATAACATGTATGTATGATTATATTATATGGATAGTTTGTGTGATATAGTCATAAACGCAGAAACTTTGGAATCTGCACCCATTCACCCAACTCTTCAGAGTGGTGCTTCTGCCGCTGATCTCTCTTTGAGAATAGTGTATCTCGGAGCAAGAGCTCAACGCTACAGCCATTTTCATGAAATCTCAGAGCAAACGCATAAGGGAACATTTAAAGAAAACTCCATGAACCCCCCCCCTTATTTATGGCACTGGAAATTTACTAGAAATCCCTTCCCTGGGGATCCGTACCAGCTGGACCATGATGCCTTGGATCTGAGTCAAGCAGGCAACTGGGCGCTGAAAAAAATGCTGGAGATCCACCGGCAAATCAATGAAGTGGCAATCTGAAATCAACACCCCAAATGAAAACATCGGTGTTTCCGATGCTTCCGATGCGGTGAACCCGAGAGTCCTTTTTCGCATGAAATGGTAGCTTCTTCGGATGGCCAATGTCCAAGAGTCCAGTATGCGCTGCTTCCCAAGTGGACCAACGCGCGGGAATGGCTCAAAGTTACCTACCACCCAAAATGTAAGGCTCCATACTAAAAGCGACAAATGTATTATACAAATGTACTGTATATGAATTTACATGGGTCCATGGACACCCCGCTTTTGACATAGCAAATTTCATGTTTTTTCGGCCACACTGAAGCTTCAAATATGAAGACTTCGCAGCCAAGATGCGTATGGCTCCCAGCAATGATCAGATTGTTCCGGCTGTAGTATCGGCCTGTGGCATCCAGATTCTCATCGATGCTGGGGCGGTGTGGGGGATAATTACCCGGCCTGGTAAACGTACAAAAAACTGATGGGAAAATCACCATTTTTGATGGGTAGATCAACTGTAAATGGCAATTTTCAGTAGCTATGTGAGTTTACCAGAGGGTAGGGGTCCCCAGATCCATCAGCTTCAGGGCTCAAGTTCTTTCAATCTGTCAATACTCGAGAACCACTCGACAGCTGCTGGACCTCGCTGTGTCCCTGGTTGTTTGATGCCCCATTGGTTATTTCACAGGTGTTTTACAAAACAATAAGCTTCGGTGATATCCCCAACAGCCGCAACGTTTTATTTTTACAAATCTTTTTGAAGCGTGCTGCGAAGCCAAGTGCTGGAAACACATCAACTGGGTTTCCGTGAATTAAATGGCCGCAAATCCTGTTGACCTGGCTCCGCACCAAAGCCTCCCAGACCTTCTCCGGAACCTTCTCCGGAACCCTGTTGAACCTGACCTGGCTCTGCACCAAAGGTTCGCCAGAACCTTCTCCGGAACCTTCCTGACCTGGCTCTGCACCAAAGCCTCCCGGACCTTCTCCTGGAACCTTCTCCGGAACCCTGTTGAACCTGACTTGGCTTTGCACCAAGGCTTCCTGGAACCTTCCCCGGAACCTCCGGAACCCTGTTGAACCTGACCTGGCTCTGCACCAAAGCCTCCCAGACATCTTCTGCGGAACCTTCTCCGGAACCCTGTTGAACCTGACCTGGCTCTGCACCAAAGCCTCCCAGACATCTTCTGCGGAACCTTCTCCGGAACCCTGTTGAACGTGACCTGTCTCTGCACCAAAGCCTCCCAGACCTTCTCCGGAACCTTCGGAACCTTCTCCGGAACCTGGTTGAACCTGACCCGGCGCCTGCACCAGTGCACACCGGAGCTATTCTGAGCTGAAGACCCCATTAGCTTACGCTGTTGAGGAAAAAGAATAGGAATGGGATTCAAAGTGGGTATGTCTCGCTCGTTTCATGCTCGTACCCTGTTTCATATTGATCCTGGTTTGCAAAGAATGATCTGAATTTCTGGTTCCGTGGCTCTGAGACTTTTCTTCTTCCCATTGGGTTATCCCATTTCCAACTGGGTTTCAACCATGTGAAGCGGTTTAAAGATCTGCCTCTGCTCAGCCCCAGTCGTGTAGCTTAGATACCGAGTCTACCGAGTCTTGGTTTCCTCAGGTCCAAGCTGACCTTTTTTCAAGATCCCTGTTGGATGGATCTTTGGGAACTGGGGGTCAAAACCTACCATATGACTGGTGTATTCACATCCAGCTGACTGGAAACCACCCGTGGCCCGGAACGCCATGGCCGGATCCTCACCTTGGAACCAGGCATGCAACTTCTCATGCACCCCTTGGATTACCGCTTCAGTGGCGGCCCAGGTATCCACGTTCACCTCGGGTGGCTGAGGCCTCTGGTAACTTAAAACAGCTATTGAAAATCAGCAGTTTTTTACATTTTTACTGGGAAAATATGGGTAAAGCATAGATAAAAGATAGATAAATGGCCATGTTCCATTTTCCATAGCTATGTTAAATTTCCAGAGGGTATAACTCAAAAAGTGGTTGCTAGTTGTAACCACTATATGATCCTGGTTCAGAAATATCCATTCGGTGGGAGCAGATCGTTCTGGCCGGGCACGAGGTGTGATCCCAGTCATCGGAAGATCGGTCGGCCGCTGCTTTCGGAGCCGGTCGCAGCGATTGGTCGCGAATGGTCCAATCTTTGCGTTAGAAACCACCCGAGTAGCGAATCTGGATCTGCTGTCCATATCCCACAGAGAATTGCAACAAGTCACAAACTCAGCCAACCTTGTCACCTATCTCGCCGAGAAGCAAAGGCCATGCGATCGCGGCTGGAAGGATCTACAAACACAAAGGCCCGCGCATAAAGGCCTTGGGAAGTTCGAACGGCGAGGTCGAAAGAGAAAAGTTGGGTAAACCAATGTGCTCACCTTGGAATGATAAGAATGGGGATGTTTGATGCTGCTAGCCAAATACATAAATACATATAGGGACAATTGGGAAGAAATCGGTCCAGGCCGGTACCAGGTACGCCATAGACATGAGCATTCACCACCGAGAGTGTCTCTCCAAAATCGGGGGGTTGCCGTTCAAAAGGACATCTCCAAATAGAAAAACCAATGGCTGTTCCAGTGCCAGGTGACAACGGTGTATCACCCAACATCCCCAACACTGGGTGATGAGGCGGGAAGCAACCAAGATCAGTGGGGCTGTAGGCCTATTGGTAACAAGGGCCTATATGCTCCATGGTTGATGGAGTAAAAGTCCTATGAATAGATATATATATATATGGAGATGTTGAGTAATAACATCTATAAATGAATATAAATGGATATAAATGGAGATGTTGAGTAATAACACCTACAAATGAATATAAATGGATATAAATGGAGATGTTGAGTAATAACATCTACAAATGAATATAAATGGATATATATGGAGATGTTGAGTAATAACATCTACAAATGAATATAAATGGATATAAATGGAGATGTTGAGTAATAACATCTACAAATGAATATAAATGGATATAAATGGAGATGTTGAGTAATAACATCTATAAATGAATATAAATGGATATAAATGGAGATGTTGAGTAATAACATCTATAAATGAATATAAATGGATATAAATGGAGATGTTGAGTAAGAACATCTATAAATGAATATAAATGGATATGAATGGAGATAAATGGAGATAAATGGATATAAATGGATATAAATGGATACAATATAAACACTATTTGATTGGAGGAAGTGCCAATAGCATCACCGAAAACGGGCGTGAGCCTGGCAGTCATCGATCGATCTTCCACTGAATGCTGAATGGGTTGAATGGGGTGCTGTCAGGAGACCCTCATATCCAATGATGGAAAATGATGGAAAATGATGGAAATGATGGCGGTTTCTACTGCAACTGTTATAACTGTTACCTTTACGCTAAGCCAACCAGCAGGTGGATGCGTGGAAGATCGCAAACGGGCCAAGTGGCGCATGTGGATACCAGCGGTCTTGTGATTGTTGTCAGCGTAGCCCATCATGACCTCGCAGCTGTCAATCAGCTCGGCTGAGCCAGGAACAATGCAAGGGAACAGGATGGGTGCCGCAGTTCTTTTGCACATGTTCCAAGATACCGTAGGTACCTTGAAAAGAGTTATCTTGCGGACCAACCTGCCACCATTCAGCCATCCCGCTGTCGTCCAAGACACCACCTCTGCTGCAGGCCCTGTGCAGTCTGCAATGCCCACTCCCACATGCCACCTTGGATCACAGCGGCTCACATCGAAATCCAAGGCACTCCATTTGGAAATGGACACCACATAACACCAATTTGGTCATATTCTCCCTGCTAAAAAATAAAACTCTTACATCCCCCCTAGATTGGCAGAGCAAGTCTTGTGGGTTTTCGGCGTGGGTCAAAACCCCGGCATCTGCAGTGACGGGTCCGTTGGGTCCCGTGCGGGGCATCAACGAGCTCCGACAATGCTTTGACACACGCGAAGCCCAACCTTGAGCGAACTCAAAACAGGGTTTGCAAGAACGTTAGTCCAGCACAACAATGAAATATATACAATATACAATTTATGTGTATATATATATGTATGTATTGAATCAATACGGTTGCCACAGGTAAAGGTAATTCAATTTAAATAGCCATAAAGCCGATTACAATTGGTTCCTCACAGGCCACAGCTCTAGTTGGAAAGCTGGGGGTCTGGCAAAAGCAGCACGGTTTTCACCATCATCTTGCCTCCCCAAAAAAAGTGGCAGCAGAACGCAACCAATTTCGATCATCTCAAGAACTGGAGCAAGAACGCTACATGCTCCTATGCAACATTCAGGAGATTACAACAGCTTCAGACTGATTATTGTGTTCTCTATGTTTCTTGGATATGTGTTGGAGGTGGAGTGACTTTGTTGCATAAACATGGAGTGACCTGGCTTTGTTTTAAAATACACAATTTCTGATTCCATGGTTCCTCATCCCCATGAAAGTGAGGTGATTTTTCTGCTAGTGATCCGTTTTGGTTCATCATTTTCTCTCTGATTTCACCATAAATTTGTCCCCTATAAGCCTGGCCACCAGCCTGGCAACCAAAGAATCATGATTTGCTACTCAAAATGCTACCCATTTGCGAATCAAACAGACCAGGGCTCGGCATCCATTCCAGACCGCAGTTCGGAACCTCCGAGACCGGTGCTGGACGCAATGGGACCCCCTCTTCACTGAGCCATCGCATGCGGGGCCAAGTTCCAAGTGGTTTCAACAGGTTTCAACAGGTGGTTGAAGTCACCCTGTGGGTCTTGAGGTGCCAAACACCTCACAACTGCTGGTGTAATCACTCCGGCGAAGATATGCAGTGATCATTTACGAAAACTTTAGGGAAGATCTCAGTGGCGGATCTGGCCACATCTTTGGGAACTCTCAAACCATGTCCTGAGCCGGAGGTAACATCCCGTTTTGCTCAACTGGAGGGTCCTTCTATTAGCTACCTCTAACAAATCCGTCAAAGGATCAATTCCCTCCGGATTCAGAACAGTGGCATGTCTTCTCAATTTTCGGGGTTCATGGTACACACTATGCCCCTGAAAATTTCGCAGACGTGATCGCATGTAGAGAAGAAATACCTGCCAAGGCATTCTAGTTCCAATGAAAAACAAGACTTCATCCATCCATCCACATCCTTGGTTTGTGGTGTGAAAGCAGTTGTCATGTTCAACCGTTCCAAGACTTCCAAGAACTCAAATCACGCTACACTTCAGGATCTACACAACCCGATCATTGGCAAGTCAACCAAAGAAATTCACCTCCAACTGAGAAGGACAAAACAAAATCCAGCCATTGCTTGCACTTTGTTCCGAAAAAGACTTCAGATATGTTTCATGATCTTCCCACCTTCCATGACATTTGGCAAACGAGGTGCCCCTATTCCAAGTTGGATTATCATAATTTGTCTCATTCAAGTGGCAATTTTGGGGTTATACCCCATCATTGAACAAAACCAATAAAACATATTCTTGGTGAAATAATGTGAAATATTCCATTCTATCCATAGAATATGCCAAATGTTTGTCCAAAAATATAGCATCATTTCTGGGCAAACCTCTAATATATATATATACATACATACATACATTACATTACATTACATTACATTACATTACATTACATTACATTACATTACATTACATACATACATATGTATATATATATAGACAAACCATGACTTGAACACCTGGTTGCTTTCAAAAGATGTTCCACGGAATTTCCTAAAAGTTCTCCTCCGCCAGCGCCAACACAGCCTTCAACTTGCCACGGTCGATGGCGTAGCTGAGCGCCTACATGGGAAAAAACATGGGAAAATCCACAAACTCAATGGAGGTTTAATGGTTTGTAATTGGAACAAAAAACAAAAGAAATGGGAAAATCATGGGCCTAAATGGGAAATGGAAAATCATCTATAAATAGGAGAATAAATCAAACTTTTTTTTAATGGACTATTCCAGCGCGCCATGTTCGATAACACCAGAAGCTTTTTGTTTGAAAATGGATGCGGACTACTAGATTTCGGGGTTCGCCAAGTTCCATGTTTGGTTATTAAAATCCAATTTTTTATTGGTTAAACTGTTGAAACCCAATTTTTGAAGTAGTTGAACCTTGACAAATATATATATATATACACATAATTTGAAAAGGATTCAACCAGGAAAAAATTTGGGGGATTGAACACGCCAGCTTGGGGGGATTGAACTCACTGATCAAACCAGCCTTTTTACTGCGCGTGTAAACCCGCCACGCAGACGTGTTAAGCCTGTCTTCCCAAAGTCACAAAGTGAAACTATGGCGTGGTATGTGGCCTTGGGTCAAAATTGCAGAACTCCTGTGAAAAGCAGACCCGGTGACCCGGGTACCCTGTGATAAAACGTACGTATCCACATGGGTAGATTAGGACCTGCACCCAAGGCGGCAAACCTCGTAAACCATACGCCAGCTACACATGTTTACCGTTTAGGGCGTATTAAAGCACTAAAAAATGGAGGGGTTCATATTTTTTTGTTGGTTCAATACCCACAATATTTCCCATAGATGTGATTCTGAAAGGTTGGTTAGATGGGCATCCCAATCTATATTAGCTTTTGCTGTTGAAATCCCCATATTTTTTGTTACTTGAAAGGATTAAAACTTCAAACATCCCAATAATGTGTGGGTGCAAAGTATCAAACTTCAAAAAGAAACAAAAAATACATGGGAGTTTCCATAAATGGGGGAACCGCCAAATGGATGGGTTTTTGCTTTGCAACATAACATGGATGACTGGGAACACCCAGAATCAGAAACCCAGAATCTCCCACCTGCATCAGCATGCCGTCTCCAAGCCGCAATCGGAGGTCCTGCATAGCTATCACGTCAGTTCCAAGATCTTTTTGGGGATACATAGTTTATAGATGTAAACATTCGGCTTGCTACTGAAGGCAAAAATATGTTGTGTTTTTTTTTTCGATTTTTTTGGTTGGATAGGTGCTACCGTTTCTACTCAAAAAAGATGTTTCCGGCACCTCTGCCTCGAACGGCCCCAAGAGACCTGCAAAATCCGGCGAGGTTCCATCGGTTCCATCAACCTATCCCCAATAGATGGGAAAATCATGGGAAAAGATGGAAAAAATTGGAAAATCATGGGAAAATCCACCATAGATCAAGGTTTGGTTCGCTGGGAACATCATTGAACTGTTAGTGGTGGATCCAGGAAGCCATGTTTGAGGACACTGGAGGGTATCTCCAAAGGAATGTATTTGCCAGAATGGATGGAATTGATGGCTGGATGACTAGATGGATTATTTGAATTATGTCAATTATGTCATGTTATCCCAAGATGGTTTGCTTGGAAGATGATTGGATGATATTTGGATGCTAATCTTCCTATTGCACCTAGCTATTTGGGATGATTTATAGTCCTGTAGTCATGAAATCTCATGAAATCTCACTTCGAATAGGAAAATGATGTTCACTTCAGGGTGATGTGCCATTGGTGAGACTTGCAGCAGAAATCTGGCTGGAAATCACAAACAATCCATCTCAGCTACTAGATGTCAAGACCATCCACTCCAAAGTCTTCAACTTTCTTCCTGGCACAACTGCAAGTTTTGCTCATTTCAATGACTTGATATCAGAAAACAATGTCTGAAAAAGCTTGTCCAAGAAGACCTTGCCGCCATGGCAAATGCTGTTTTCCCCTCCACACACTCCTATCGCTTCTAGCCATTTGGTCCACTTAAAATCCCGTCGACCATTACATTTGAAGGTTTTTCTTCCTTCATTTCTCACATTTGTTGTAGCCTCACATTCCATAACTTATAGCAACCCCGAAAAAAACGAAGAAAACTCAAAACCCACTATAGAAAAGTCGAATTCTACATAAATCATGAGAAAATGATACGGTTCTCTATCTTCTTGGGTGGTTACATATACCCAACCATCCAGGAGGTCCAGTGACCAACTGCCAACTGCACCTTCATCCACTTTCTGCATCATCTCGCTAGTGGCCTGGCCCCCAAAACCCGGAGACTGGAGAACCCAACCATCCCAACCAGTTGACTCTTAGATCTCTTAGTTAGCCAATTTTTTTGGAGTTCTTTTTGAGACTTGGCAAACTTGGCAAACTTGGCAAACTTGGCAAACTTGGTCCTGGTTAGCCCAAGAATCCAAAAATCTGCAGAAACCACCCGCATCCCGCCGGCGCTGGTGCTACTGCAGGCGGCGCCGCGGGGGGCGCGGAGGGTGCAGAGGCAGTGGCAGATTCACCCAACCTGGGAAGGAGGGTGGTGAATGATGACCTTCACTGGGAGGCATCTGACCAGAAAAACCACACCATCTATCGGGATATGGGATAATCCTTGAAAAAAATGTGCCTATTCTTGTGGACCAGCTGGGATTTTCATCTTAAAACATCTCCGCAAATGAGGAGTTCACCCACGGCCCAGGCCGCCCTGCACTTCCAAAGCAGCTGACACCTGCACAATAGACTTGCCCAGTTCGATAGAAAAGTGGTGTCAAGTCAAGGCTAGATTTAGATACTCTGCATTTTGTTTTTGCTGGTTAGGATCATAGTTATATACATTTACATATACATATACATCTACATATACATATACATATACACATACATATACACATATACACATATACACATATACACATATACACATATACACATATACACATATACACATATACACATATACATATACATACATTTATTTACCTATCTACGTTGTTTAATTATATATATATACATACATACATACGTAGATTATCTCCACATTTACTGCATGTACTAAACTAGCCATCCAAGGTTCACGCAGTCCATGGGACCTGTATGATCTTAACCCCAAATTCATCAACCGGGGCTAAACTACTCCGAGGTTGACGTTCCCAAACAATTATTTCCTGCTAGATCTGGAAGGTTTCTGGGAAGCTTGCAGCATCGAACGGTTGCGGTGCTAAGAAGCTCGTCCCTGGGACTCGTACTTAGCGTTAAAAAAAAATGACAACATGATCTGACAGGAAAGGCCAGACACAACCCAGAACAACACCTGTGTGACTGTACGGATGCTGAATAATGATATCACGCAAACATGCTTCCATACTATGCCCTCCCTGTTCTAGCGACATCCCGCTTCAGCTCTCGCAATGTTGAACAGGAGGGTTGGTCATGCCACTTCTATATTCATCAAATGGATGCTCCAAAGTACCACCAAACAACACTCATCTGCAAAGCAAATGGAAGCTCGATACCCTCAAAATACATCGAAGTACATGTATCCAATCCTTCATTTTGTCGTTTTGTCGGGCTTGGGGTGTACATTGCAATTGGGGAAAGAGCCCATGCCATCTTTTTCAAGGGCGTCATTCATCAATGCCTTGTCCGGTGCATCTGGTGCAGCAGGTGCCGGTCGGACCCCATAGGGTCCACCTGCAACGTGGATGACTGTCCCTATGGTCCCTCAACATACCCGTCCTTTGCGGATGTCATTGATGTCATGTTCTTTTTCAAGAAGTTCTGCGGCTATGAAATCTTCGGTATCTTTTTAGATTTACAAAGAAACGCCTATCAAGATTTCTTCAGTGAGAAAAAAGATAGTGCTGTTTCAAGATCAACCCTGAAAACCATTACATGTCATTCACCAGTAATGACCAGTAGAGTCTGCCTGCGCAACTATACCCTGGTTGAAAACCTCACACCACCCACCCTGGGACCTGGCGGAGGTGGACAGCTCTTGCTGACTGGCGGAAGAAAAAAATGCCAAGATCTGGCAGTGTGTCAAAACCAATAGTACCCCTTCTGTTCACATCAAAATAGCTGGTAAATGGATGTGAATAACCCACTAAAAATGGTATTAATAATTTTGTATTAATAGGTATTGATCCATACCCATCTGTGGGTTGAGTCCAGGTCCCCTCCAATTTTGGACGAAAAAAATGATTCTTGTTTCCACTGATGTGGCTTCCAAAACCAAAAAGAATTAAAAAAAACGATGTATGATATTTCATAGTGGCATATGGCAGTTTCCAATATGGAATCAATTCTGATCGCCATCCCACTTTCTGGCCGAAAACAACAACAAAACAATCAACCAGAACCATGAGGCTATAAAATGCCCATATCTTCCTCTGGTTGAAGGATTGCATCACAGTTGCGTTCAAGTCCCATGTTGATTCAGTTCCTTGGAATATTGCAAAGGGGGCCTATCGGAGACGCCGCCGCAGGCGGCGCTGCCGGCGCGGCCACAGCGGCCGCAGGTGCGGCTGGTGCGACCCCAACCGGTGCGGGCGCTGCACCCAAAACACCTGGAGGGGATGATCCCTAGGTGGGCCTCGGTCCCCGTCAGTTGGTTTCGTTTAGAAGTGTAATTTGGATTTTTATGCCAAATATATCTAGAATGGGGTTTCAAAAAACAACTTATAGCTAGGGGTTCCCACCTTGTACTTGGCTAGGTATCCCACGTAGTAAGTGGTCAAGAATCCAGATGAATATCGAGTGTATATGCCACTCAACTGGGTGACTCGCCCATTGGATGCACATCCAAGTAGAGTTCGCGAATTCTGAGTGGCTGGAGGAGCATCGTAGCTCCTTTTGATTGAGGATAGTAGTAGGAAAGAACTTGAGCCATACTAGCCATCAATCCTAGCTTCAGCGAACATCCAGGTGAGCAGCACAGGGCAGCAGTCCATCATACGGTTTGCTGTTTGAAACGATAGCCTAACAATTAATATTGGACATCTGATGATGGTTTTGGGGTTTAGAAGCTGCTTCTGTGCTGTGTGAACAGCTTCGCACTGTAAAATCTGAATCTTCTTCCTTTCAACAATCATGAGCCTCATGGTAGGCATGCCCTTTTCCCCATCACAACAAATACCACCAGCGCCCCAGCCTAGTGCTTTAGCTGCAGATGTTGCAGGTGATTTGCCCAACACATCCAGGGCTGCGGCCGCTGCAGGTGATGCAGGTGATGCAGGGCCCTCTGGTGCAGCTGGAGCAGCCGGTGCTTTGACCGGGGCAGCTGGGGCAGCTGGTGCTTTGCCCAGGACACTCAGGGCAGCGGCCGCAGGTGCTGCAGCCACCGGTGGGGGCGCTGTTTTGCCCAGCACTGACAGGGCAGCTGAAGCACCAGCTGGTGCGGTGGGTGCTACTGGAGCCGTTTTGCTCAATGCCGGAGTTGCAGGTGGTGAAGATTTCCCCAGCATCCCCAAGGCCGAAGAAACGCTGGAGCTTGCAGCTGGGCCATGTGGAAGCGTATCTGTAGGTGGTCCTGGCAACAGGGACTTCGCCACAGCGACGGTAGGTGGTCCTGGTAGCACCGGCTTCGCCACGTCGCCTGTAGGTGGTCCTGGCAACACTGGTTTCGCCACTGCGACAGCTGAAGCTGGGGCTGCAGCTGCAACTGCTGGGGCTTTGCCGCCAAGCAAACCCAGTGCCGCTTTGGCACCAGAGCTCCCGGTGCTGGGTGCCGGCGTGGCACCCTTGGCGGAACCACCCAACAAGGCACAGGCGGCAGCCGCCATGGGTCACAGACTTTGCCGAGCTGACTTTGAGCTCAACAAGGTACAACGAGTTGTTTCAAGGGCAGCAAGGGCATCCTTTGTCTTGCAATATGATGTTGGATGTTGGATGATGTTGGGATGAATCTAGGTCCTGGTCAACAATATGTGATAATGTCCAAACCAAAGCAGGTACGGTGGGTGACAGAAACGTCTCTCATTGAAGAGGTTTGCATGTCAGATATGTTTGAATTCATACAAAACAGCTGGTGTATCTTGGCGTTTTGTCCACTGGGATGTGGATTATAGAGTAGAGCTTTGACCCAATCTCACTACCAAGTTATGATCCATCTGGACAGCAGCGAACTATGCAGTGTCAAAGTGGTCCCCTTGGACTGTTGTAGCCTCCAAAAAAAGGAACTGGACTCTGCAAAAACATATGTCTTCAAAATGGTTTTACCCTCGGATACGTGGCCCGTTTGGCTTCGAGACTTGAATTTCCAAAGAAGTCCACAAAATATCCTATGAAACCACGATTGATGGACAGTCATCTACCACAGTTTTTGGGCAGAAGCTGTCTCAAATTCTGCTCCTGCTAAGGACTAAATGTCTTCCAACTTCGAGGGTTCATATGAGTTGAGACCTTTCAAAGTAGGGAAAAAACATGTTCCTGGGGAATTATGCCAACTTGCTTCCACATCCCTATCATCCCTGATGCCCTTTCCAAATCCCGGAAGTGTCACGGCAGAGTGGCGGCTTGTTGCCGGCCGTTTGGTCTCAAGACACCCTCTGGAGCTATTCTGAAACCTGGTTTTCAGATGTTTTGAACTCATGGACAACATTTTTCCCCATGCCCTGAATAGATCAAATATGATCAAATCCCAAACCAGGGGTTCTTTATAGGGTGTTCCTTTGTAGAGGCAAGGGATGATGGTCACCAAACAGTGAAGGCCGATTGCTTCCAGAGGGGGTCCGCTGTGAAATGTATGCGGATCGTGACAGCAATCGTGGCACCACAGCTGCCCAGAATTCATGGCATGTCGCATTTCCAGCGGTTGCAGTGAGGAAATGTGGGATATAATATGAATTAATGGGGAAGTAATTGGCATACCTTCAGGCTATGGGTTTTTGGGGTTCTTGAGGCTTGTTCTGTACCCAAATCAGGTACCATGAAGCACTTTAAAAATGGAAGTGAAATGCAATTGTGTATTCTGCTACGGTGCTGAGATTGGAGACAGGTCCGCCAAATCCGCTAACAGGTAGCTTTTAGAACGCGCGTCAACTGAGGGACACGTAGAGGATGAAACCCGAACACCTGAGCAATGATCAGAGGTTGTTGGATGCACTTTTGTATACATGGGTTTGTTTGAAAATGGGATGCCCTAAACATCTCCTATTAGAATTGCCATTTTGGGGTATAGGTATAGTATCCCCATTTTGAGACAAAGCGTGACATATCGCCATGTATTGTTGGTGACATATCCCTTGAAGAATCCCATCATATCAACAATTAAACCATGACACCATCGCGGCCTCATCCGGCCACTGCCATTGTGGTGCTTCCATAGCCGTCTCCAGAAGCCTGGCTTAGTGTCAGCATGGAGATCTAACAGAAACGCGGCCGGGGTTCAACTAAGAAATTCCCATTGTGAATTGGGATTGACTAATATGTACTCATATGTGTTATGTATAATAATCAATCCAATAAATAATAATCAATAGGTTGTTTAACATTCAATTCCCATTGAAATGATCATCAACAGAAATGGAGCTTCAACCGAGTCAACCAACACAATAGGGCCATAGGCTTTATCCCATCCCGGTAAGAAAAAGCGATGCTGCCCTGTGACTTGGCAAAAAAATCTTCACAGAAATCCTATCCACAAAACAAAAAAACATCGCCTTTATCTGGTCTCAATATAAACAAATCCAATTCATAGTCATGATTTCTATCTCTTTGGCGAAAGGGATCCATCATCATCATCATCATCGTTATCCTCTCTAGGAGCAAACGTGCATCCCCAATCAGAACAGACTGGGCGCTCCCAGTTGCTAGGTATGTTCATCACCCCTTCTAAGGATTGGCAAAGACACAAAAAAAACGAGATGAAAACCATGGTTTTCACCCTGAAATATAGACGGCCGGTTGTCTGGGAAGTATTCCCATCCATTTCTCGGATCAGCTTCCCACGTTTCCACGGCAGCAACTCCCTGCCTTCACCCTGGTGTTTGTGGCCACGGGCGACAAGGTCTTCAATTCGGTATCCTTGGTCTCCGGAAGGCTCCAAACCAGCAAGGAGGCCAGCACGAAGAAGCCCATGGTCAGGAAGAGGAACAAATGCCTGGGATCCGGCGAGTAATATGGGAAAGGCCAGCACATCTGGTCAAATTCAGCATGTATGTGCTGTATTTGTTTCATTTCGTTTCCTATTCCATTGCCATCATGGGGTGTGTACCCCATTTTCAAACCCAGATTTGGACAACCTTCGGTTGGCGAATCTATATAGGGATGAGCTCCACAGCTACTTAGAATATGGAAAAATACGGTGTGACAGAACCACACTCCCACACTCCACTGCTAGTTGCCCTGGTGGGTACAAACCCATTGAGAAGGTCATATCAGTTATATCTGATAGGGGTTTTATTGTTGCGGGGGAGTCACCAGCTTTTTTCAGAAGCATCCAATGGTAAAATGCCTCGATTTTTGGTGGTAACCAACCCCTCTAACAATCCCAAAATGATAAAACCCAAAAGAAAGGAATTGTCTCATACCAGCCATTTTCCTAGAATTGAATGAAATGAAAACTGAAACCAGAAACCCTTCTGGATCTTTTGGGGTAAAACCCTGCAGCTTCCAAGCACGAAAAAAACAACCCAACGACCTATAAAGAAACACATATTAGGAAACAAACAAAAGTTTGAGAACGAAAAATATCTAGATCAACATTATGATTAACCCAATAAAACCCCAAGTCCTGGATCGATAGCCGAGGTGCTGAGAGGTGTGCACGATCCACGGCACAGCCTTGAATAACCATGACATGTCATGGTCACGAATTCTTAAGGGGTTTGATTTGTGAATTTGGCTTAATTCTAAATTCGTGCATGTTAGATATGTTAGGGGTAGTTTATCTGTTTCAAATGCTTAGGAATGGTTTTCGTAGTGCTTAGCATTGGTCGAAAATGGGTAATAATCCCAAACAAGATGTAAGAACATCAAATCCTATTTTCAAAATAGTCTTAAATTACGTGTCTTTCTGTTGGACCACCATCAGTCGGGGTATAATCCCTGTAAGTTTGGCTCCACAGCTGTGACTCGACCCACTTTTTTTTCAAAATGAGCAGATGGTTGGTCTGACCAAAGTGGTCATGTATGATGGATGTAGACAGTATGTATGTAAGGTATTACATATATATACTATATATATATAACCAAAACTTCGTGGCATCTGAGCTTGCAGGGTGGAAGGCGGTCTGCTGAATGGAAAAAATTAAGACTTCCGATTTCACATCTTCCCAGCGTCACAGCTTCACCACTGCAGCTAGAGTGCTAGTGGTGCCATGCGTCCGCAAAACGCGATGATTGACATGCTCCACACCCGGATCTGCGTGCTAAACACCTGGTACTTCACCGGACACACTGGATTGGTTGGAAAATGGATGTATTATGGTTGGTGGTCAGCCCATCCAAAAATCTCGTCCACTTGGGATCCTTATTACTCACTGTTTACCCCAAAAAGTTGCTGAATCCGGGTTCAATTTTCCGATCCAAGTATGGGATTCTGCTGCTCCATTGGCTCAACCTCGATCACTCTCACCTCCCAGAGAAGTTCAAACCATTATCCACTACGATGATCCGATGATCCTAGACTACCAGGATTTTTTCTCTGCAAGATGGTCAGCTCATGCCAGCAGAAACAATCATCAATTCCGGTCTTGCTCCCGCATGCTGCCACTTCAACGGAGGGACTTCCGCCGGAAACAAGAAGGTGATCATCTGTGCCGTGGGGTAGAAGAGTTTGTAGAAGACCACACCAGTCCTGGGAGCGGAAGATATGGTCAAGTGGGTCAAGCACTAAGATCACCAAGACTTAGAGTCAAGGGAATTATATAATCTGAACAGTCATGGTGAGTCATGGTTGTCCATGGCTTCTTGATGGTTATGAACAAGCCATTACCAGCGGTTATGGGTTACCAGCGCTTGCGGTCACGTCGATGTGACAGAGCTGCACTGATTCCATGGAAGAATGGTATCCCATTTGGGGGTCCGTTGGCACCCAAATTTTTGGGTCGAACTGAATGATTTATAGTCATATTCGACGGAAATTGTAAAGGAAACCATGCTTTCGCTTCCTACAAAACAATATGCTAGTGTATATACTGTAAATCTTCCCTTAAACCAAGTCAACATCTCACCAGCCATGACTCTGCGTACATCCCAATGTTTTTGGTCCAAAACTATACCCATTTTGCAGTTGATAAACTGTTGTGGAACGGGTCCCCATAACTCAAGAAACCCTCACATTACCCCATATCTTGTTGGTTGTATTCCGTATAAATTAAAGACATATTTCATGTCCATGTTTTCTTTGCCAAGAATTACCCGTTAAGCCTACTTTGGATATACCACTCCATTTTGGGGAGGTGGTCATTTTCTGATGGTTTGATCCTATGAACTGCAGCCCATCCCATGAAATGTGTCCACTTTTTGGTCAAATTGATCCCCTTTTTGTGCTGGAACCAGAATCTTGCTTGGTGAAATCACCACTTTATCCACTTTCTAAAAAAAAAAAATGCCAAGGCAAGTCCTGCCAAGCGTCACCCCAAACAAGGCCTGTTGGTCCAGGATGCCATGCACAGCATAGACTCCGATGGCGCAAATGCCGGCGGCCACGGCATAGGCCAGGCGCCTGGCTGTTCTCATCTTTTGATGGATGGAAAATCGACAGGAAACCATGGTTTTGACCATCAAATTTGGACGTGTCCGGTTAAAATGTTCCATTAAACTCATTAAACCAATCCGTTTTTCCATAAAATGGGGGAGTTCAGCAAGATTTGA